CAAGATTATCCTGCCTTATAAACTAAGGCAGGATAATCTTGTGATTCTATAATTTAGACTTATAAAATTAATTAGTTGTGATTTATAAATAAACATTATTGTTATTATAGTATGAAGCTTCATTCGAGTATTACTTATTTGATAGCAATTATTTCGGACAGAACAAAACAATTAATATCAAATAAGTACTACTCATCATCACCTTTTCAGCCAAGACGTCCACTGCAGAACATAGGCCTCCCCCAAAGAATGCCACAACGACCTGTCATGCGCTGCTTGCATCCAGCGGGTTCCCGCAGCCTTAACCAGATCAGCATGCTGATTTTGTTTCGTATCGTAATCCGAAAGTCTCGGAATCAGATGGGTTTCTGAACGAGAAGACGAACCTGATTCCTATTTGAATTGAATCAACTATTGGTCCGATTAGAAATGTCAAAGTTTCCGATCGGCCAGTTGTGAATCGCAATTATGGGCCTCGACTCAGAAAAGACGCAGTTACCGATTGAGAGAGGCAATCAAGATCGAGCTGCAGTGCACAATGTAGGTGGTCTGCCCACGCCGCATCTAACGGTACGCGGTCGCCACTCGAGAACTCTTCGAGAATTTATTCTTCTACCACAGTGTCTGAGTCAGAGTTGCCAGTGATGACGTATGGCACTGAGACGCGGTCGCTCACTATGTGTCTCTTAAGAAGGCTCAATGTCATTCAAAGGTCAATGGAAAAGGTTATGTTCGGAGTTTCGGTGCAAGATCGAATCAGTAATGAGGATATCCGCAAGGGAACCAGAGTAACCGACATAGTCCTAACAATTGCAAAACTTAAGTGACAATGGGCATAGCACATTACTCGCAGACCAGATGGCCGATGGGACCGAAGTATAATACTCGACCAAATTTTAAGACAATGTCAACCATGAAGCTTTATTCGCATCATGTGTGTTTTAATTCAATCGTGTATTAGGTACTTATTTGATAGCAATTGTTTCGGATGGATGGCAGTCGGGGAACGAGAGAACAGGGCCTCGCCCTGGAGGACAAGAGTAGACCCCCTTACGAAACAAGCACACACACTCGAAGGTCGAAGAGTTTTGTCTTGAGACACTGTGGTAGAAGAATAAATTCTCGAAGAGTTCTCGAGTGACGACCGCGTGTATTTAACTCACAAATTCGAAATTTATAGTAGGAATCAGGTTCATCTTCTCGTTCAGAAACATGTCTGATTTCGAGACTACCCGATCGGATAGATTCCAATTTGAATCAAAATCAACACGGAGATCTACAACCGCGGTTGTTATATCATTAGTTTCAGTTGATGACCTCTGTGGTCGAATGACTTTCACACTGGTTTTCATGGTGTTGCCATCTCTCGAGGTCAATGTAAAAAACTTTTCTATATTGTCTCGAGTATGGGTGTTTGTGGTACCGTCGTTGCTTCTGATTTCCATAACACAAGTTTATTTAAAAAGTTGTCTTGCCCCTAACGTAATTGCCTTTTTTCTAAGAATTTTTTTTCTGTGTCAAGATGCCGAAAGCACCCGAGTATATAACTCGATGACCAGAAATAGAGACGTAGTAAGGGCCATCCATATATCACTTTTAAATATCAACTCTCGTTTGCGCTGAAATCGCAAATTAGAAAACTGTAATAGTACAACGCCAACAGCTGACCTGACAGCAAAACATCTAATTACAAAAGAAACGGAATCACTTTTCATTGGTAATTAAATACCGAATATGTAATTTTTCAATTTTCATCCATTATAGCTAAGCCCAAATTAAACTGGTCGATTTGAAGTGAAACAATTGACGAATCCCGTCAATTGTTTCGAATTCGGGCTGGCCAATCCGAGCAATTGTCACCGTAATGATTTGGCAGAATAGTTTTCAAACAAATTAAATGACATTTCTCTTTGTTACATATTCCATGGTCGAGTTACCAAAATGCAAATGCGTTGTTTATGTCAAGGCAGTTTTCTCATCGTCATAGAAAGTTGTTTCATGCAGTATAACGAAAATATCTGACTCTATTTCTCATGGTAACGTTACGGTGTCAAATGAACACTGGGCGGCTCTAGTTTTTTTAGTATTAAACGGGTTTTACAACCGATTTAAAAGTTCTTTACTACGAATGCGACGCAATTCAATAATACATTTTATTTTAATAGAAATGAGTATGGAGTACTTTCGCGCCATTGTATTTTTCTTTTTTTTTTATTTATGTTCGTAAACATCACAAATGGGTATTTTTATCATGGTGATGAAAAGTTAAAAAAAAGTATGAGCCCCTAAATATCTTCTTTTGCATAAATCAAGAGCATGAGAAGTAGTAAACATATTTTGAATTCGCAAAAAAACATTTTACAAACATTTTGGTTCCGCAAAATAAAGTACACGGTTAAACGACATTTAAAAAAAATGTTTATTTTTTTAAATGTCGTATCATCGAATAGTGCATAATCACCACCAGAAATATTATCCGACCTTATGACCTTATTATTTATCCACCGTATAGAGTTTAATCGAAGTAGGTAAAACCCAAGGGTGCGTGCAGATCTGGTGAATATGCTGCAAATGCGCCTATTTGCGAAAGGCTCTACCTTGTGTTACGTTGTGCGATGTTCGCGTGCTGTTCGTGTGCCGCTTATATTAACATGTATTTAATTGCACGCAAGCAGTGCGCGAGCAGTATGCCTACGCATTCGCCAGATCTGTACGCACCTTAACGAGATTTAAGTTATTCGCAATACATTTCCTTTTTTTATTTATATAAACCTATTCATTAAGGTGAACACGCATTGAACCGCGTCCCACGTATTCCTTAAAATTCTTTGTAAAAACTCACATATTGCTTTGTTCCCTGAAATGGTGATGGCGTAGTAACGTTTTTTATCAATATTCAATCGTAATATTGAAGCATGTTCTAATATGGCAATAAAATAAGATACCGATTTGAATAATACCTATACAAAGTTTACTATTATACATCTAGTCATTACTTGTTTACCAGTTTACTGTAGGTACACGGAATAGATAACAAAATTTCAACAACTATTTTTATAAAAAAATCACATAAAGGAAAATTACAAACAACATCAACAATTATACAAATTTATACAATGGTACAGAGCCGAGCCAATTCAGAAAAGTTTGTTTCTTAACTTGGTTCAACCGGCAATCCGGTATCGTCTAATCGTCAGCCGAAAGGTGTCCACTGTTGAACATAGGTCTGCAGAGTAAGATAATTTTGAACAGCACATGGTTTCTCTACTTCTTTTTCTTCAGAATGAATTAATAAATGTTGTTCCAATAAGTCTTTATCTTTACAAAGTTCGTTACAAATTTCACACTGAAATAGTTTTTTTACTTGTTTCTCTTTAGTATGTTTGAATAGTAAATGATGACTTAAATGCTGTTTCTGACGATAACTTTTGTTACAAATATAACACATAAATGGTGCTTGTACTTTGTTAGTATGTGTAGCTAAATGTAGTTTAAGACTATACTTCTTTTTGTAACATTTTTTACAAATTTTACAAACAAATTTTTTTTCTACATTTTCGACAGAATGACTTCTTAAGTGACTTATTAAATATTGTTTATTAATAAATGTTTTGTTACAAGTGTCACAAATAAATTCCTTCAATTTTGTGTGTGTAGTAAGTAAATGTCTTTTAAGTGCTCGTTCGGTGCTGTAATCTTTGTTACAAATATCACATTTGAATTGGTTATATCTATGAGTCTTCATGTGTCTATTAAGGCTGCCCCTTCTGCTGTAACATGTATTACAAATATTACATGCAAATGGTTTTTCCCCAGTATGGATAAATTGATGTTCATTAAAACTGTGTTTTTTTCTGAATTGTTTGTCACAAAGCTCACAATTATATTGTTTTGAACTTATTTTTTTTGTTTTACTTCGATTGGAATCATGAATCTCTAAATGTCTACTAAGGTGGCCTTTTGTAATATAGGATTTGTTACAAATATGGCATATGAATGGTCTCCCAGTATGATTAAGCAGATGTTCATGTAAATAACGCAAAGAACTTAATTCCTTGTTACAAAATTCACATGTAAATTTCCGTTGACACGATTCGTCAATGTTGTTGTTACCATTTATTTCTGGTTGTTCAGTTGGTTGAGCTAAATCGCAAGTGTGTGCCACATCAACTGACTGCTGTTCTACATTAGGCCCGGCAGTAGTCAGGTCTTGATTGATTTCGTGACCTTGATGCAAATTCGCTGAACTGCATTTTTCTGTAGTAGAAGCCTTGTGGTTGGCAGGTATTGTACAAACATTACATTCGCAGACATATTTGTTACGTTTATGAATCTTTGAATGTCTAGTTAGATGATCTTTTCTGACAAAACCTTTGTCACAAACATTACATACATACGGTCTATTGACATTATGGGTGAGCAGATGTTCTTTCAAACTATATTTTCTCCTAAATTCTTTGTTACATGTTTCACAAATATGCCTTTCTTCTTCTTTTACCTTTTTATATTTTATGTATGGTTTGTTGTATTTCGGTGTATTCGTTGGTTCAATTTCTTTGAATTGTTCATTGTTCAACGTGCCATCCTGAGTGTAGATAACTAGATATTCATTTATTTGTAAATCTTTGTTACAGATTTCGTAAAATTGTTTTTCTTCACTTATTTTGTTTGTCTTTACATTGGTTAGTTCACTGTATTTGGTTTTAATATTGTTTTCATGTATATTTGTTTCTATGTTTGTTTTTTCACTGTCTTCGCTTTTCGTTGTCAACTCTTGAAGCTGCTGAGAAGTTCCTGCCTGTAAACAGGCATTATAAACGCTATCCATGTCCACTATAATATCTTCGTATGGATCCCATGAGCCGGAAGATCCAGTGTAAGAGGGCCCCTCACTAGGTGTACCAAGAACATGATAAAAGTCGAAGGGAGACGTTGAATTCAGGTCGCTTAGGAACGTATTTGGTGACGATGTGTTGGAGAGTTCTAAGTTCGGCATAGGAAGTCTTCCAGTTGTAGATAATAAAGCTGTATTTGCTATATCTTGTTTAATGTATTCGTTTGCAACCATTAAGTCTTGTTCTGTTTCTTTAGATGTAAGCTGAACATTCGATAGAGTTTCTGGCTGCTGTAAAAGTTCCATTGTGTCTTGTTTTGTTCCATCATCGACAGGAACCTGATGTAGCTCGACCTGTACACTTTGAGATTCATCAGGTTCCCGAACATCATCAGGAGGTAGTAGGACACCAGGCCCAACATACAAATCATATACTTCATGCCCTTCTGTGTTGGGTAATCCTTCAGGCTCTAACTGAATTTGAACAAATAGTACTTCAGAGGCCAACGTGGTTTGTGGTATATTTGCTTCCTGATTTACGACATCAGGAACAGACATTGTTGAGTTGCTTTTGAACAGTGTTGTGCGTTAAAAAATGCAGTTCGTCATTGATGATTTCGTTGTTGTTAACTTAATCTGGAACAACAGATAACTAAGTTTCATTAGTTATTTCGGAACATTCCCCTTGTACTTGTGACTTTCTGAGAATTGTAATTAATCTGTCTGGCAGTTTGTTCGCTTATAAACAGAGATCGGTATCTAAAACAGAGTATAATTATCTGAACTTCAAAGAAATAACACAAGACTGTATTATACCTCCCTCTGAAATCTCGGAATTATTGTATCGTATTTTGTTCTATATTTTTTTCTGTGTACCTAGTGTATTGCATCTCTGGTGAAACAAAGACTTACTTTACATTTGTAAAATTTACAGAAAATTAATTAGAAGTTTTGTATTGAGGGCTTCTAAGCACATTTGAAGAGCTCTTAAATATTATACTATTATAAAGCGCATCACATCCTCTGCAGAAAAATTTAAGGAATGCATAATACGTCTCAATTTTTCCATATAAATTCCATTTTAAAAGTGTTTTGGGATTACAAGTTCTTACAGTTAAGTCTGTGTTTTACCAAAAGTGTGATATTTTTTTTAATAAAAAACTAAGTGACGGGAAGAACAGGTCGTATGTCTAGGTAAGCGGCACGCTTGTCCATAACAATTGCAGCACTACTCACGAGGTTTAAATCACAAAGATCTGAGGGGCACTGCTACTGCGCCTGACACCCTGAGACATAAGTTGACAAGTCCCATTTGCCTGTAATTTCACCAGCCACCTTACCCTGTGAAACCGGAAAAGGCAGTAATGCTCACACTACTGCCTAGAGGCAGGAATAGGTAAGGTGGCAGTGCTTCCCTGGACGAACTCTTTCACAAGGAGCTCTACTGCTATTAAAATAGATACGGTGGCAGTAAGCTCAGTTTAGTAATGTATTTTTTTTATTATTGAGGTGCACGAAACCTCGTACCACTTTCCTGTACATATGGCGCATCCTGGGCAACCACCGGCGAGTACCTCGCGTCGATTGGCCAATCCCTTCACCGCGATGGTAAGCATTATAGTGTACGCCATCGATGCTTTGAGAAGAAGGCTGTTTAATTTATTTCTTTTTAGAGGGGTCACCCACTTGAAGTTTAGGGTTATTTATGTATTTATCAAGTCTTTTAAGCTATTAAAAATATTTTTTACATTACAATTGTATGTTGCATTTTCAATTTTTACATTATACATCTTAACGCAGCGTGTTGGCCTAGGCACACATCTTTCCAGGGGGCTCTATCAAAAAAAATTAAATACATAAATTAAATGTTAAATAAATAAAATAAAAAATTATATATTATAATAATATAGTTATTTATATTTAATTTATTAAGATTGTTAAATATCACGATATTGTTTCTTTCTTTTTGTTATTATTTGTGAAACGCTTTGTCTACATGTACGCTTATTTGTATTACACAAAATTTTGTCTATATGTATAAGATTATGTGTGTATAAATATTAAGCATAAAGTAACATTCAAACAAACCCTTTAGGTTTAGGGGTCGTGTTCCAGAACTCTACTCAATGCTCTAGTGAGGACTTGAGTATGATTTAAAGCACTAGAAATCATACTCAAGTCCTTGCCCTTAGGTTTGTATTTCCAGTACTTAAAATCACACTCAAGTCAGTATTTGAGCAGACTTGAGTATGATATCAAGCACTGGAAATACGACCTTAAGGGCAAGGCCTTGAGTATGATTTTCAGTGTTCAGTGCAATACTCAATTCCTGACTTGAGTATTGAGTAGAGTTCTGGAATACGACCCTAAGAGTGTCAAGTATCTAGATAATAAATTATTGTAATATGAGTAAATAAATAAGATAAAAAAAGAGCTTCTCTTCTCCATCATGGCCTTGGAGTTTGCTTCAGCTCATCCTCCCATCTTTGATGTTGACGCCGTCTATTACGTTTTCCATCACGTGGTTACCAATTGGTGACTACTTTGCTCCATTTTTCCGGCTTATAAGTAGCTAAGAAGTTTAGGTTATATTCTGGCTATTCCTATCTCTGCTTATAACTGGATTACTACTGCATACATTTTTAATTTTCGCTATTCTTTTGGGTCTCACTTACAATTTTCGACTTTTATTTAATATTTAAAGGTATCACGTTGACCTGCGACTAGAGAAAATACAAGGTCAGTGAACTTTGTCAGCCTGAATATTAACCCAATGTGTTGCTTGTTACCTACGTATGTTTTTAATTTCTATTGCTTTTGCATTTGCAATTTGTCTCTCAAAATACATATAGTAAGACATATTTATATTATTATTATTATTTTTGATATCTAAATATTTATTGATTAATTATTAGATTAGAAAAGCCACTAGTTGCATTTTATTTATTTTTCGTCTAGTTACCAGTCATTTAAATCACAATATGATTGTAAAAGTTGCAACTTGGGTGAAGTCTCGAAATATCTTGTATATATATATTTTACCTACATGTCTACAGTAAAGAACCCAGTTTATTTTTGTTAATTGCACATGTTCTATCTTATACGAACTTGTTTTATTTTTTTTATAGGGTGTCAGCAATAAAAATGTCCTAGTGCTGGCATTGTCTTTGTTACTTTACTGTACCTATTGTACAGAAATTTAAAAAATGTATGCACAAAAATGTCAAAATAGATAAAGAAAATTCTTCTATTACCCAAAAATCCTGCAGATGCGAATCTATTAAACTATTTAATATTTGTTAAAACACTGCTTTAGTAAATAAAGACAGCATCCATTGCTAATAAAAATGTAGTCACTGAAGACAAGCTGACGTTCTATCTATTGATTGTACTAGTCGAGATTAAATCAATATACAACATACCTGAAAAGCGCAACAGATGTAAGATGACCGCATACCAAATCCGCTGCAAACGTATCGGACTTGGAATTTACTTATTTTCGCGGTAATCGAGATGTGATTAAGGGTAGTTTTTATTTTTTGATATTGTTCAATCTGTTACGATATTCTAAAGAAATCGCTCTCAACACATATTGCTATCAAATATATAGCTCAACAATAAAACTTACTGACTGATGCATCCATTTCAGTGACAGATCGTGAAAATATTATAACATAAACGACAAATGACACAGTTGGAAGGACCAAAAATAGTGAAGAAACAACTGTCCTAAATACTGCACACTATTAAGCACTCTTTGATAGATTTTTTATATTAACAATTAATTTATCACGGTACAAAAATAAATCGAACAATGACTGAACAGATCGCAAGGTGCGCGCGCAGCCATAAACTTCACAAGATTCAAAGACACGCAAGTCGACTAAAATTATCTTTTTCTTGATTTTGATTTCATTTACAGTTAGAATTTCCGACAATACATTAATTGTAAGCTGAAGTCACCGAAATAACCTAACATTATATTTGATGGTTACATCGGTTCTTAGAACATGGTTTAATGTCACAATTGAAATGCTCACTCATTTTGTAAGCGGTCACTGCTTGCAGTTCCGACGAAATGTGCGTTTACCTTTAAAACAAATGCGGCATCGCGATTGCCAAAGTGCAGATAATATTTTATTTTCATTTTTCTTTTTAATTTATTGACAAACATTAGCAACAACATCAAAACGTAAATATCAATGAGCTTATTTCTTTTCATATGAGCGCTAATAGATAATCAACTTGCCACATAATTTTGAGAAACACCCGAAACACCCCGTATGCGTTATCTCTTTCTAACTAATTGTGTATAAGAACTGTCAACAATGTAAACAGTATTATTTGACCGTAAAAATAACGGTCGGTTGTTTGATAGAAAACAATTTGAATGTTTATTCGCATTAAAAAAGAATAATTACTACAAAAGTGTAATTTATTGTTGCAAAAATGGATGCAAATGCTTTTATATCAAAATTAAAAGCAGACGGTTCGGAACAAGACTATTGTAATTTATCGAAAGTTTTCAAAGAATATACCACAATTTCTTCGAATTTGCCATCAAAGGATCGTGGCTTGTTCTCATTGAACGTTCTGTGTATATTATGCAGGTAACTGTAACGCTGTTTGACGCTTAAAATGCTTTACGCTTAGGTCTTAAATAGATACTTGATTCAGCCTTCGCAACTGGAACTGGGCGTTTAATTTTCGTTAGCTATTGAACCTTTTTTGTCGCTTCTACTCTGTTTCCTAATTTACATAGAGGACCACACATATCTTTCAGCGAATAAATGATAATTGTACTGTATTAAAGATGACCTCCGTGGTCGTGCGGCTTGGCTTGCACACCGGTTTTCATGGTGTCGCTAGCTCTGAGGTCCCTAGTTCGATCCCCGGCCGGTTCAATGTAGAAAACTAACTGTCTTATATTAACTCGGGTCTATATACAATAATAAACATATTACAAATTTCAGAAACTTGGACAAAGTACCAACCTGGCGTGCCAAAATCGACAAAACAGAACTCGTCAACCTGGCCATTCAATGTCTCCGAGAGACCAGAACCCTCCAGAGAGCTGACAGAGTTAAGACTCTAGCTTCTTTATACCATATACACAGATATGTTGTTAGAGAGGTATATATGATCAATTATTTTTCACCTTTTTCTTTTATGTGTGACACGCCTGTACATGACAGTTGCAGAGCCACTCACAGCTTTAAATCACAAAGATCTGAGGAACACTGCTATCGCGCCTGTCACCCTGAGACATAAGTGGACAAGTCCCATGTTTCTGTAATTTCACTGGCACCCTTACCCTTGGCAATGTCCCTCGTAAAGAGGTTTTGCAATGTCCCTTATGCTCTCATTATTCAAGGGGAGCTCCTATCGCTCATCCAGTGTGACAAGGACATAATTGTACAGGTTTGTGTTCCGAGTTAAGGACTAAAAAAATTGCACTATTATTTACAATTACACCCTTATCTTCTACGGATCTCATCGAGTATATAACCAGAAATAGAGGCGAAGCTGACCTGTGTGTGCATTTTCATATATTCCAAAAATATTCTTTATTTATTGTACTAAAGATAACATCTCAAATTATGGGCGGCTGTTCCATTCGATTGTGTGCAAAAAACATCATAACATCTAATTACAATTACTAATACAAAGATCGAACACTCAGAAAAAATTCCTTCGATCTGGCCAGATTCAAACCGACGTCTTCAAGCATTCTGTGACAGACACTATGCCAACAAAGCCACTGAACGAACCAGTGGACCTCACGAATTTTTCTATGTGCTTGCATCGTATCTTTTCATTATCTTTAACAATTAAAGATATGTAATTGTTCAATTGACGTCCATTACAGCAAAGCTCAAGGTAAACTGATTGATTTCAAGTCAAACAATTGACCACACCCGTCAATTGTTTCGAATTTATTCTGGCCAATCGGAATGCAGTTGTCACTGTCATGATATTTGGCAGAAGAGTTTTTAAACAAATTAAATTCGACATTTCGTCGCATTTCGAGCATTGCTCGCTCCACATGATATTTTGCAAATATGATATTCAGCTATTGACCTTTGTATGTATTCAGCGAGTCAAGGCTGTGCCCCTCAGATCTTTGCGATTGAATAAAGATCTGAATGCCACCAAAAAATGCGAATAAATTAATTTTTATTTTCAGACTGAAGGAGTATCATCTGAGCTCGTATTAAAGCTGTCCTACATGGCCTTTGAAAATGAATACGACAACCTACTCCATGAATATGCAAAAACATACTGGAATATATGCGCTGACAGACTTTTATATATCGAGAAGCAGAAAACAAAATTTTCAATAAGAAATTTACTAACGAAACTCTCGGAGGACATTTACAAAATAATACAAATGTACGATTCAATGCAATTTTGTTCCACAATAATGAATTTTTTGATAAAAAAACTACATTTCTTATACAGTGGTTCGAATCCTTCAGAACTTAATACAGTTTTTGGGAAATTATTCAATATTTTGTCTTCAAAAGATGATTTGAAAAACTTCAAAAATTTATCAAAAGGAGAATCGTTAGATATGTTCACAAAACTGATAGACTGTTTGTATGTAATTGCTGAAAATGGTACCAAAATTGACTCCAAAGAATCATCGCTAACAAACATTGTTTTGTGCATTGTCAGTCTCATTGGTCATAATTCAGATATACATTATTGCTTGCTAAACTTCATCTGCCCAATCAGCAGCATATTCGAAAAACAAAATACAACTTACACTGAAGCCGTTTTAAACAATTTAATAACAAACTTTGATACTGCTGAGAAATCTGGTTATGGCTCGACAATGCACCTTATGTACCCATTTATAAGCCAGTTTATGAAATTATATATAGAGGGGTATATAACCTATAATGAAAACTTGAATATGAACTACAGCGAAAGCATACAAGAATCTTGCTTGAAAATAATTTACTTCTTAATGAGAACTTTAAAACAATGCAAACAAATATCAAAATGCCTTAATTGTGATATCAAAACTGGATTACACGACGCCTTACGTCTATCATTTCTGTCTAAACAGATAATAATTTTATCTATAGACAAAAATATATCAACAACTACAACTTTACCAGTTTTCTGCCAAATTATTCTATACCAGTACAAAATCATCAAAGAACTTTGCTTTAAAAACTGTAATAATCATGAAAAAGGTTACAATAAACTCCAATCTGATATACACAATACGGCAATTGTTTTAAATAGTAAGAAACAATATGAATTTGCAATCAAACTCTTTAACATATACCTTGAGAATGAAATAACAAACTTCAAGACAGAAGTGGAGCTTAAAAATATAAGCCGAGCCTTATATAACAAAAGTATATCCGAGCTTGAGTTTCAACAGCATAAAGAAGCTCTTAAAGACGCTTATTTAAGCCTTATATTCGCGCAGCCAGAAGGGCTATGTGCAGAGAAACATATGAGTCTGGTTATTGACATAAAATCCAAAGCATTGACAGCGAAAAATGACAGTGATGAATTGCAATTGATGACCGTGCTTGATGTTTGTGAAATGACAGTTAAAAATAATGATTACGGGAATATGAAGCCGTTCTTTTGCAACTTGAAATTTAGGTGAGTTTTGACAATTTAGTACTGACTACTGCCATAGTGGAAAAAGACAACTGTATAACTCCCGCCAGTTCGTTGTGTTAATCTCTACAACACCCCGCGCCCCGCGCACCGCGCTGATCGCCTACTTGCCGATACCCCTACTAGTTGGGAGACTAATCAATTTTCTTAAGTAGGAACAATTCGAGTAATAAACGTAGTCAGTAGTCGGTAAGCAGTTAAACAAGTATTTCGTTCCGATCCCGGGATAAGCAAGATCCTGAACCTGAAAATATACAGTCCACTGATCCTGAGCTAGACCGTCGACAGTAGGGTTGTCACAATATAATTATAGTTATATATACTTTTTTTAACACACACACTCATGACTTCGAATTATGGAAACCCTGTGCCCCTGGTGTCATGGACACATACATAGACAAGCACAAATTGCACCCAAACTCACGAGAGATATAAATTACGAACTTTTAACATGCTGGACTGCCTAATGAGAAATATTTGTATGGTCTACATTTATTTCTCTTGTGAATTTGGGTGTAATTTGTGGTTGTCTGTGAGTGGTTTCCTGGCGCCCACGATACAGGGTTTCCATAGTGCGGGGCTATGAGTGTGCCAACCGCGTTAACGAACCCGATTTCTGTATGGCAGAATGTTAACCGTTCCAGTCTGCCTTCGGAACGAAAGAATGATAAATACATATCCGGATTCAGGAAAAAATTTGTCTCATTCGACTTTTTTTTTAATATTATGTGGTTATTCCGAAATTTGTGAACCGATTTCGATGATTCTTTTTTGTTGATTCTATTCTCCGTACCTCAGTAGTGGTCCCATTGAAATAAATATTCCATCTCTAAGGGTAACAAATTAGGGCATGAATCTGGTTTATTGGATCTCATCAAAAAATACACAATTTTAATTTAAGAAATAAACATAAACTGGCACTTCCACAATTTAGATTGAATAAAGTAAACTCATCTATCATGAGAAAATTGTGTGCGCTTTTATAATATAATCTCAGTACATAGTACTAACAAAAATCGACCTCAAAAGCACGTGGAATTACATCTATTTGTTTAATTCAAATCGGTTACCGGAAAGTACGCAAACCCGAATCCATCCCCTAGTTCGCCACTATAGGGAACTTGACACAGGAGATAATAAAAATCGGTTCTCACTGCTGAAAATATATTGAGAGAGAAAAACGCCTTGAATTGGAGAATAGCAAAATCAACCATTAAAAGAATTGGTCGTTATAATAAAATTTAGGCGTTATTTATTAATATGAATCTTCATGCCTGAACAGTTACCCTTAGATTTGGATGATTTTTCTTCAAAATTAAATGGAACCACTATGGAGGTACCCACTTTCCAACAAAAAAAGAATCATGAAAATCGGTTCACAAATACCGGAGTTATCGCGTAACATACATACAAAAAAAAAAAGAAAAAATCATAAAGTCGAATTGAGAATTTAGAGAAAACAATGTGTAAAATTATTTTATTTACTTTTTAACAAAAACAATGAGTCACTGAATCAATTTGACGATGTCAAATATAATTTGTTTACCTATGAAATATTTTGAGTTTGACTTTTACCCATTTCCTGTTAACCGATTACAATAAAACTTGGCAAATATATGTAATTCCATAGACTTTTGAAATTTTTTTTATTTGTAAAGTTTTTTTATGTAAAAATCTTTCTGTCTAACTGGTTCCCTACATTCTTCTCCAGCACCACATCTCAAAAGCTTCCAATCGTTTTTGTAATCCTAGATTAATTATTACCTTTTCAGTATACTGCTGAAACATGAATTCTCAATGTATGCAAAGTTGTGGCCGTCGTTGGTTCCAATTACTGGAGTATGGCGATCGTTACACCAGCTCGGGAAGGGTCTGAATTTACCCTGGTTGAAAAGTAAGTTTTTCTACTCATTTACTCTAATCTATTAATTATAATTTCATGAAGCATATTATAAAGGAGCTCTTTTTAGTTCTGAACCAAAATTCTAGACAGTAGAATGGTACCGAGTATATAATCAGAAATAGAGACGAAATGCCATTTAATTTGTTTGAAAACAATTCTGCCAAATCATTACGGTGACAACGGCGCTTCGATTGGCCAGCCCGAATTCGAAACAATTGGCGGGTGTCGTCAATTGTTTCAATACAAATCCACCAGCTTAACTTGAGCTTTGCTATAATTGACGAAAACTGCAACATTACATATTTAATTACCGATGAAATTTGATTCCGTTTGTTTTGTAAATAGATGTTTTGCTGTTTTTCCCACACCACCGAATGAAACATGAAACAGCAGCTAGTCAGAGATATTATCTTTATTACAATAAACACAGAATATTTTTGGAATATACGGAGACGTACCACACAGGTCAGTTGTTGGCGCTGTACTATTTCAGCTTTCTAATTTGTGATTTAAAAGTGATATTAGGCCCATTTGCTTGATGAGTTGCCCAGGGATGGATGGCCCTTATTTCGTCTCTATTTCTGGTTATATACTCGATGTACTAGCTACTGAACTGAAAAAAACAATTATAGTTTTGTACACAGAACTATAAATGAGTTTTAAATAAACAATGTCGTATTCTTGCTATATCATATATCACGCTACTACAACGCTCTACTGCCTCCATAATGGTTAAACTGACCTAAAACTCTTGCAACTTTTATATAAAAAAAAAGAATTGATTAATACATAAGCGGTACTTGGCCACTTTCATTCTACCTCTTCGGTTTCTTGTTTTGAAGAGTTTGTTTGGCTTTCGACTATATGAAGAGGCTGTATGGTGGAACATTTTCCTACCTTAATAAACGGGTAAAGAAATGCGTTTCTTGTCATGGATTGTTAACAAAATATTTATTTATTTATTTATCAATGCCTATAAACTATAGTTACAGGATTTTACCTAATGCGATAGTAAGCTACATAAGAAATATTTATATAACTAAACTAATCTATATATTTAGGAAATGAAACTATTTTTCCGGATTTAAATCGCGTATATTTGTTTTTTCAAACAAACCGGTGACGTTTCGGGCCCTTTAAAGGTCCCATGGTCACGGTTGACTGAGGTGGTACAGTCTTCAACCAGTTATGTCTAATATTAATGCAAACCACCCTATTTTGTTCCACTATAGTTACAATAGTTATTAATTAAATACCTTATTTTTAATTTTACAAAGAAAACTTTCCAATTTACGCTACATTAAGTTTTATAAATTATTTTATTGAATGAATTTTTATTAAGTTTAATTTATTATTAATTATTAATAGAAATTAGAATAAACTAAAACATATTAATTATATTTATTTTTATATTTATTTAATTAATTATAATTATATTTATTTAATTATATTAATTATATTAGACATAACTGGTTGAAGACTACCACCTCAGTCAACCGTGACCATGGGACCTGTAAAGGGCCCGAAACGTCGGTTTGTTTGAAAAAACAAATATACGCGATTTAAATCCGGAAAAATAGTTTCATTTCCTATGTGTAACAATCGCGAAAACCTAAGAACTCGATAATCTATATATTTAATAACATATTACCATCGAGTATATAACCAGAAATAGACGAAATAAGGGCCATATATTCCTGGCAGCATATTAGCGATACAGCTCTTATAAATATTAACTCCCGTTTGCACCGAAATATAGACTTGCCAACTACTGACCTGTGTTTACGTCTCCGTATATTCCAAAAAATATTCTGTATTTATTGTAATAAAGATAATATCTCTAACAATGACGTGCTGTTCTATTCGGTGGTGTGAAAAAAACAGCAAAACATCTAATTACGAAACAAACGGAATCACATTTCATCGGTAATTAAATATTAAATATGTAATTTTGCAATTTTCGTCCATTATAGCAAAGCTCAAGTTAACTGGTCGATTTGAAGTGAAACAATTGACGACACCCGTTAATTGTTTTGAACTCGGGCTTGCCAATCGGAGCCCAGTTGTCACAGTAATAATATGGCAGAATAATTTTCAAACAAAATAAATGAAATTTCGTTTCTATTTCTGGCTATATACTCGATGCATATTACAAACAAAGTTACCATTGTGGGTTCACTCAAAGAACAAAAGAATATTAAGTCTTACGTTATTGGCCACCAAATTGACAATGCGAAGCGCGTGTCAACGGCGCCTTGTTCAGCTGGTTGGTCCTTCCATGCGGTACGGTCAGCAGATAATGCCGTCGCCGACGCTACACGTATACATCCGGAACACACTTGCCTATTTGCTTCAGAAGGTCCGGATTGGAAATCTTTCCTCTACAAAGTTAAAAAATACAGGATACTAGTGCAAGTTCTCGCCTGACTTTAAGTGTGTTATAGCCAACCATTTCTAAAACAAATAGGTTTGGGTACATCAGAGTGTAATATGGGTAAACGCCGTATTGTTTCATAAAGAGGTACCACATGTTTCCCTTCATGCGGGCCCCATATGACCGCATTACACTCAAGCTAGCTTCTAACCATGGCGTTATATAAGGCGATTATCGCTTCAATATTTGTAAAGCTATGAACGCTACGAAGAATTAAACCTAGATTCCTATACGCTTCTTTACGTACCTTAACAATATGATCTCTGAAGGTTAGGTCTTTATTTAGTACAATTCCTAAATCCTTGACTTCGGTCACTCTAGTCATAGTAATCCCCTCACTCTCGTAATTATGTCGGGCATTAATATACTTAAATATTGGTATTGTTGCATTATTTTATTTTCTCGTAGAAAAAGTATTCTATGCAATTATTAACATAATTCAGGGTTACCTATCAAAAGTCCGAAATGACATTTTCCAAAAATAACGATTGCTCGAATTTTCATAACCTCGAACGTAATTTTGAGAGGCAAAAGGTTTTTTTCTTTTAAACCTAACTTAACCGAACCTAATCGTGTCTTTGCGATAAACAACGGTTTCGTTATAATTCGGTTTTCGGTGTAATGAAAATTCGAACTAACGTTATAGATATTGTGATAGGTTACCATAATTCGGTCTTAAAATGTGGAACCTTTTAGTTAGTTAAACACGGTACTCGACTCTAAGAACCCTTATTATGCAAAGGTTGCATAAAATATATTAGACACGCCTGTCCATAATACTTTCAGCTTTAAATCGCAAAGCTCTGAGGGGCGCTGCCAGTGCGCCCCTCACCCTGAGACAAAGTTGACAAGTCTCATGTCTTTTCAGCTCCAGACCCATCAATTCGCCAAACCCTGTACGAGACAATCATGGAAACGCCAACTGCCGTACGCACTATACACAGCGACTATTTTGTCGACACCGTCAAAGAGTTAGTTGCAGAGTTTGAAGAACATCCTGTAAGTATAAGATTTTTTTTATGAGACCAAGGCACGGGACGAACAAGTCGCCCACCTGGTGGTATTGACACGCTCGTCCATAACAGTTGCAGTTAAAGTCAAAGATCATTTATTCCATAGGTAAAATAAATATACATTAAGCGACTGCTCGTTTACTACGCTGACTTCTCTGAGAAGAACGAGCAAGAAACTCTAGGGTTTGCTCTTTTCAAATAAACTTAAATGCTATGGAATACACTTTGAATTAAATTTGTGTGGATTCTGGAGCCGTGTCGTCTTTTCACACATCTTTATCTAACACGTCTTCAATTTTGTAATACGACTTTCCAGTCAAAATATTTTTAATGTAGTTTTTAAACTTAGGAAGTGATCATCTTAATATATGCTCCGGAATCTTATTGTAAAAACGTATACAGTTGCGGACGGTCGAGACGCGCCTGGCCGATCAGAGCAAATATGAGTGGAATTACGTAAATAATTCAGGGGCTCTGGTTGGCGGGCGGCCTCGGCGGCGCTTTGATAGGGCCGGTACGATGTAGGAGACGCCGCTATATACTATATAAGAGAGTTATTGTACGATTTCGTTCTTATTCGATTTCTTTCATATTTTCGACTTGTCAGATTATTGAACTAAGTCAGATAGACATAGATAGGATAAGGTGTTCAATCAAGAATCGAAGTGTATACTGTAGTCTAGGCTCTACTCTATGAGTAGAATCACTGGCTGAGTGAATAGTTTTGTAATTAGAATGTGTTTTGAAAAATGAAATAAGAAAAGAATAGAGCATCTTGAGAGTACGTAATGTAACCCAACGCTGAAAATATGTAAAAAAGTTCAATAAAGCAAATTTTGAAGATTATTCCAGTTTAAATTCATAAAAGTACCTCTCGCTACGCATCCTAAGCTACGCTCCAGCTTACAAATTGTGGAGGCGTGAATTCCAATGTGAAAAATCTTTATATTTTATTCTTGAAATATCTCTGGGGCAAGATAAGAGATGTAGTATAACTCAGTTACAATACTGTCCATTTAAGAATAAGAAGCATTAATAAACGGAACATTACGAGTTTCATTGAATTCTGGTCCGTTTTGAGACGGATTCAGCCGGGATGCAACAATAATGCTTAATTATCCATTTATAAACGAAAATGTGTACTAGGTTATCATATATGACATAATTGATGACAGCTTTTACTAAATGTTTGTTCCAGGTTTCTTCACAAGAAATGAAAATTATACAAGCAACCCTATTTTTCCTAAAAGCCGAGTACGATCTTGCAGACGCGGCGTTGCAGTACGAATGGAAGGTCAAAGATCCTGTAAGTGTATCACATTCCACTGTTTGACATGATTAAAAGTAAATTATAGAAGATTTATAAAAATCGACCCCTCCTACGTAAAGTATCGTATGTCGAAGTTGCCAAGTTTACAGGGGAGCGTTTTAAACTTCTTAATTCGCTGAGATAAGCATAATACGTGACTTTAGCATTTCTCAGTTTTATTCGGCAAA